GTTCCCAAGCCCGGGTAAAGGAGGAGGGTTGGGCATGGGGTTAGCGTCCCCATCCCGTAGAAAACTAACTCGCTAAAAAAACGCTTACCAGAAAAAATTATTCAAACCATTTAAACTCTGCCCTGGGAGTTAGAAGGTCTTCAGTTAGAAGAATTATGACGCTTCATGGTGAAAGCCGGGTTCCTTCGGAAGCCACGAGGCCGATGCCCCTTCTAACAACCAGAGCAAAAATTTTTATAGGTACATGGAACGTTCGAACAATGTGGGAAACTGGGAAGACCAGTCAAATAGCAATGGAAATGAGGAGATACAACTTAGCAGTACTGGGAATCAGCAAAACCCACTGGACCCAAGCTGGACAAAAAGGCTAGCTACGGGAGAGATGCTGCATCAGCAATAGCCTTCTGTGGGAGAGAACAAAGCAACTTCCAGCTGAAGAAGAAATTAGGAAAAGACGATGGAAATGGATAGGACATACATTACGCAAACCGTCAAACTGCATCACGAGTCAAGCCCTAACTTGGAACCCTGAAGGGAGGCGAAAAAGAGGAAGGCCAAAGAACACATTGCGTCGGATTATAGAAGCAGATATGAAAAGGATGAATTACAACTGGACGGAGCTAGAAAGGATTGCCCAGGACAGGGTTGGATGGAGAATGCTGGTGAGTGGCCTATGCTCCTTCACGAGGAGTAACAGGCGTAAGTAAGTAAGTAATTAATTTGTGATTCAAGCACATAATAATCACTTGGAAAGATTCCATCTTCAATTAGTACACAGTGTTTCGCACCTTTTGGTCTGTAGAATTTAGCAATTAATGCATGCATATTCACTGTTAAATTACAAGTAATACTAACTTCACTTGGTTTAGAGTTAACAATCCATTGAGCACAATCAATGGATAATTGTTTATCACAATGTGATGCTGGTAATTCACCATAATGATAGGCTAATACACCTAAATCTCTCCATTGATTTAATATGTCATTTAAATAGGCATTTAAACGTCTTGGTTGTAATCCCATGGAATTTCCACAAAAGTATATAATTTTCTTTGAATGATTTTCATCGTTTTTATCAATTAAATGTTGATTATGTTCAGTAGAATTTGATTGAACTGTTTTCATTACTTGATTATAGTCTGGTAAATAAAATTCTGATTGGTATGAGTGTAGTGAATCATGCTCGTCTAATTTTATGGCGAAATCGATCGAATCAAAATCCACTTGGTATTTATTGGCTAAATATTTCAACTCTTCAATAGAACTGGACATTAGTGTACAGTGAAGTGGAACCAAGTGAATCTATATCACACTTTCTGAATTCTTTAAATTTATGTTAACCAGAGTATATGTATGCATATATCTGATTGGTTGCTTAATAATAGCTAATAATAGATTGGATCTATTGGCTGAACTGAACTATACAAGTATAATTGCATGTCCTTCCTTAAATATGGCCGATTAGTTAGTGAGTTATGATTAGACAGATATACTTTTGTCTACTGTGTTCTGATTGGATATTCGAACGAATCAGCTTGTAAGAACGTATAAACCCATCTTGTTTATGATAAAATTAAGTTACTACAGTCTCCACAAAACCCTTTTCTGATAAAATCGTCATGTGCTCAGTAATGAGCAGCTTTAAGAGGTATTTCCTGGGATTCTAGTAAGAAGCTGTGACCAACCGTCGTGCAATAATTGTCAACCCAATGTGGAGAATTATAACCGAATAGAAACTAAGTCTTAAAATTACTTGACTATTTTCACATAACTGCATACAATGAACAGTCAATATCGCTACTGCTTTGAGTAATTTTATCATAAACAAAGATGGGTTTATACGTTCTTACAAGCTGATTCGTTCGAATATCCAATCAGAACACAGTAGACAAAAGTATATCTGTCTAATCATAACTCACTAACTAATCGGCCATATTTAAGGAAGGACATGCAATTATACTTGTATAGTTCAGTTCAGCCAATAGATCCAATCTATTATTAGCTATTATTAAGCAACCAATCAGATATATGCATACATATACTCTGGTTAACATAAATTTAAAGAATTCAGAAAGTGTGATATAGATTCACTTGGTTCCACTTCACTGTACACTAATGTCCAGTTCTATTGAAGAGTTGAAATATTTAGCCAATAAATACCAAGTGGATTTTGATTCGATCGATTTCGCCATAAAATTAGACGAGCATGATTCACTACACTCATACCAATCAGAATTTTATTTACCAGACTATAATCAAGTAATGAAAACAGTTCAATCAAATTCTACTGAACATAATCAACATTTAATTGATAAAAACGATGAAAATCATTCAAAGAAAATTATATACTTTTGTGGAAATTCCATGGGATTACAACCAAGACGTTTAAATGCCTATTTAAATGACATATTAAATCATGGAGAGATTTAGGTGTATTAGCCTATCATTATGGTGAATTACCAGCATCACATTGTGATAAACAATTATCCATTGATTGTGCTCAATGGATTGTTAACTCTAAACCAAGTGAAGTTAGTATTACTTGTAATTTAACAGTGAATATGCATGCATTAATTGCTAAATTCTACAGACCAAAAGGTGCGAAACACTGTGTACTAATTGAAGATGGAATCTTTCCAAGTGATTATTATGTGCTTGAATCACAAATTAATTGGCATGGTTTAAATCCGAATGATTGTATTATTAGATTGAAACCACGTATTAATGAATATTGTTTAAGAAATGAAGATATTTTGCACGAAATCCAAAAAAATCAACATAGAATTGCATTGATTTGGTTACCAGGAGTACAATACGTTACAGGACAATTATTCAATATGAGATTAATTACTGAATGGGGTCATCAATACTGTAAATGTCCAGTAGGATGGGATTTAGCACATGCTGTTGGTAATATTCCTTTATTTCTGCATGATTGGGATGTTGATATGGCTGTATGGTGTTCATATAAATATTTAAATGGTAGTCCCGGTGCTATGGGAGGATTGTTTATTCATGAAAAACATCATCATCAAGAATCAAGTTACGGACCGAAGTTTAATGAGTCCAACGATATCAATAGTAGTGATAATACAATAATTACTGATATATCTGGTCCCCAACTAACTGGTTGGTGGAGCCATAGAACTGAAACGCGATTCGATTTGACTGGACATATGGAATTAGCGGAAGGTGCTGATGCCTACCGATTGTCTAATCCACCATTATTATTGGCTGCAGCTTTAACGGTCAGTATCGGTATTATCAAGTCATGTGGCGGTATGAATAATTTAAGAGAGAAATCAATCAAACTAACTAATTACCTTGAATATCTAATTACAGAGAGTCCATTAGCTCTAAATAGTGATCAATATAGGATAGTTACACCATCGAGTTCAGAGGAACGTGGAGCACAGTTAACATTGAGTTTTAATCATGTAAACGTTAAAAAACTATATGAAAATTTATTGAGATTAGGTGCAATATGTGATTATAGACTGCCGAATTTTCTGCGTATTACACCGATACCATTGTATAATAGTTTTGAAGATGTTTATATGTTTGTAAAATGTCTTCGTCAAGCGTTGTATGACATTGAATCAGTTTAATTTATGTATATATGTGTTATAAAAATACAAAGGAATCAAATAAAACCTTCATATTCTTTTTGTTTTCTGTAAGAATTTACTACCTGTCTCTATGACAATTTAGTTGATTCGTAAAATCAGTTAAATTGGTACCCCACTACTTCCCAGTGCCACATTAGCCCAGCTCATATCTGTATAGTGAACTTTAAGCCACAACGCTTCTGTGAGTACTAGCAATGATACCCGGCCACCCAAACCGAAATACATCACGCGAGAGTCATACTCATATCGAATTCGAATGATGATAGGATTTAACTGAGGGATTTGTTTCTCTTCCACATCTTTACTCAACGGTAAATCCTTAGTGTTGGTGGTAATTAAATTATGTAATACAAAAGTTTTAGCCAAGTTTCGATAACTCACTTCTCCCCAAATTTTGTGTTAATTATGCTGCTTTCTCCTTCGTTACACCTCATTGAAGAAATGTGTTAAACAGTGAAAGTTTAAGGCGTTGGGTAGTACCAAATAATAAGTTAGTGTTGGCTTGGAAGTTTTCAGTAAATGAAATTCACAATTACTTATGATGTCGGACTCAGATACTTCAAGTTTTGAGGTGTGTTCTATTTACCTGTCGTTCTCAGTTGGCATTTAATGTTTCATATCTCTGGATTCATTTGTCATAAGTTATTATATGAAAATGGTCTGATTCCATCAAGTACCTATTTGGCTTACTTGTGATCTGATCTACATCTATTCTTTGCAAACTCTTTATTGATAAGTTAATGTTGTGATGACTAGTAATTAAACTTAAGCTGGATTTCCCGAGTTTTTACTGAGAAACTATGATTAATCAAGACACATCAGAAGTGATATATTTGTTATAAATAGTGTTTAATTATGATTTTGATACATTATAAGCTTTAAAAAATTGCAGAACTGAAGACCCCACACTGTTATTGATATAGAAAAGTAAACTAAAGAAACTATCCCTTACAGTTTGGTTGTAGCATATATCAATTCTTTACGGTAGCTAACGAAACGGTTTAATCAGATCTATTAATGAAAAAGAATGCATTACGTGGGTCTGATTGTTTTAGAGTAAGAAGAAAAGCAATAAATGAATCACAGAGACAAATTAGAACTAAATTTAGGATTAATTAATATACAAAGCTAAATGACTTTAAATGATACATTTATGTTTAAGGCGTTAAAAATACGATACTTATGCGTTTTCCCTGATGTTGATGTAATTTTGTACCTTTCAGAAGAGAAGGGATTTTACAAAATGGTACTATGGCTTTATAGTCTGTGCTGTAAGTAACGGTGATGATAATGAAATTTTAAGGACACCTGTCGATTGTATGGTTTTTAGTTTTATGGTATATTGGTGTAGTAATTATGTGAGTAAACTTTATTTCTCTATGTAAATTATCTGGTGTAACAGTATTTATGAAAAATACAGCATATTTGTGACTGAAAGAGGCTAAATTAAGAGTAGTGAACATCTCAGGCTGTTAGCTGGCGAGTTAGGAGTTATCTTTACTTAAGATTTTGATTCATTTCGGTATATGGTTGGAATAAATATCCTACTGGTTAGCTGAACTTTTTATTAAATCTACCAGCCTATAAAAAGTACATGAAGTGTCTTGCTTTTGTTAAATATTAGTTCTTCACAGTCATACGCTATGCTTTTGCCCGTGGTATTCTTATGGCTGAATGAGACATGGTATTAAGGGGCGATTGGATTAGCTGTAAATAAGTATTACCTAATGCTACTAAGTCGTGATTATATCAGTAGGGAATCCTATCATACTAAAACTAGGTATTGAACATCACAATCTATGTATCACACCTTTTAAAGGAACGATTTATTTGCAGATGTCGCTGATACGCTCGTCTACACATGCTTGAAACCACTAAATATATCATTCAGTAGCAAATTTCTTGACCAAAATTCGTCTACGAATGTATTGTAGCGGTGGTAAAATTGGAAAAACTTAAATGAAGACTTTTACACGCAGTTTAATGTATATTCTTTACTTACACCGTCTTCTTTGATTAGTGTATATATATGTGCACAAATATCCTATGAAATGTTAATCGACTTATCTACGTCAAAATTGCTTTTGATAGTTTACAATTACACTTTAGGTTCGATTCGTTTGAAGCTTCCACTAAGTCTTATTGAGTTTATGATTTGGTTATTGAATTGTCCTTCACCTTGCTACATTTACTTTCAGTTTAATTTTTTACAAAACTGTTACACTTTTGTTTTTATTGTTTTGTTCAACACTGATTGATGAGATTTATAAGTCAAAAAGAGAAATTTAAGTAAAATAATCCTGAGATATGTACGTCACATGAAATTGTAACGGAATATATATACAACGTGGACGGAACAGTTTAGAAATAATTTTCATGATATTAAAGAGTAAAACAATTGTTTATGCAATAAATTAGAGCGGAAGTTTAGAACATTGGAGTTATTGATTCACAAATTCTCAACAAAACAATTTATTATAGGTATAGTTGGATGGTGGCTAACAATGGAATTCAGGACATACGTGTCGTCCCGTTTGGGACTTTTCAGCTAGATGTACCTACATCTAATTGGAGTTCATTTTGGAACTCGAACACAGTACCGTCCGTTTCGAACGCCATCGCGTTATCCACTTAGCCACCGGCTTATATTAGCTGCTTGAATTTTCCCATTGATGCTTAGGTCTGCAATCGATCATTCTCTTCTTGGCATATATTATATTTCGACCAAACTTACATGACTATAATATATGTTTATCCTACATAGTTATCAAGAGTCATAAAAAATGAGTTAAGCCTTAGTGAGAAAAAAATGAACTGGATAAAGGTTGTATAATTTATAAAGGTGACTTTTGTGTACATCTTTTTGCATGCGATCTAAGTTATGAGGATCATAATTGGTTTACAAAATATTAGATGTTAAAAAATGATTTAAAAGGAAACGATAATGGTTTGTCTTTGAGACTGACTAGACGGGGCGTCTATAAATAATAGTCTTGACGAACTGATATAAACTAGAAATTAATATTAAAACATTAGTAAGCATTCACCTAGTAGTTCCGTTTCAGAATAAAATCGACTCCTTCAAATTGTTGGTTTATTTTCACGCACAAGAACTCAACAAACACATTCATACTCAGCCGTTAGATAAAAATTTCCAACCGATAACTACCTATAAATAGATCTAATATAATTTTACAATTGATTAATATAAACAACGCTAAATTTTAAAATGTCAACATTGACAGAAACAAACAAGTAAAGAGAAAAAAAACGGACGAAAGTTTTCAAATGATAAAAGCAAACCATTATCAACATGTATAACATACAGCAATATTTGACGATTCCATTTGCTTCAAAAGTGATGATGAATTTAAATCCGACGATTGAAAAGGTGTTTGCTGATTCATATCCATAGAAGTTGACTTTTGAATTGAATTTTCATCTGGAACTTTATAAAATATTCTCAAAACAAAATTTTTTGGTCGAAAAATAGCTGGTTCCAATCCTATAATAATTATAATAATATTAATAATAATAATTTATACAAATTTCGATGTAATAAATCAAGACAGATACCACATTACCTAATCTAAAATGACAGTGACAATTGTATAATGTGTGTATTTATCAATCCACTTGCTCCTATAGAACTGGGTATATTTGTATTTTAATCTGGATTCTATCTAAGATAATTCAAAAACATCCGGCTTAGGTGAAAATAAGCGGAAACGAATAGATAAAAGGCTCCACAATCGAACATCTTGTGAACAACCACCGACTTCGAAGCTATTTACAAAGTAAAAGAACAATGAACCTCCATCTTCTTAACACTGATGAAGCATTTGGTATACATCTGGGAAAAATAGAACTATGTATAAAAAGGAAACTTGTCCAACTTCTTCTTTTACTATGATCTTAATCTTCCACTTTTGTTCCAAAGCTATCACTTTCCCTCCTATCTTCAACAACCATTTACTCCCAACCGACTTATTTTTGTTTTCATGCTCTTTCTAAATATGGGTCACATCAACTTCAATATTTTATCATAACACACCACATAATCTTTTTTTGATAGTTAATGATCGTTATTGATCTTCCTGATGAATACTCAATATCATAGCGACTATGCTTTCAGTTTTTGGATAAGAATGATATTTTTATATTTATTATCCTACTTCTCTGTTTAACAAATCCATTATTATAATCGCTATTATTGTTATTACTATCGTCGTCATCATTAAGAAACGCACGGCGGTTTTTGTATTTTTTAAATTTTCTGTTCACCCCATTTAAAAATTTTTTCATCCGATTATGCCATTATGCGGTGCGAGATTCTCATTTCCATAGAGATCAGCAGCCTTATATTAAATTTGTATGTTGTAGAAATGGCCGAAGAACACCTGGCGGATCCTCACAGCCGGTTAGACGAAAGAGGTAATTTCATTAGTGTTATTATATTGTTCTTGTGGGACTTCAATGAACACTCAATGTCCGACTTTCATATTTTGTAAGTTTATTGAAGGTTACTGGACTGTCGTTCGTGGTAATGTTCATCACAATCATGAGTGCAATTCCCGAAGTACGGCAAAAATTCTTGAATGCGAAGGTTAAAGGACGCTGGATTAGAAACAGTGCAACCTGTTCTGATTTCGGGGATAGCAGCATTCAATATTGTGCACTTCGCATACCAATCTTATGGAAAGGCACTTACACAGTCTCCCGAAATCTCATCAATTGTTCGTGTAGTTTTTATACTGAAAACAGATTTCTATATCGTCACGTTTTGGCCTACTGTACACACACTAATGCTGAAGTGAACACAGAATTAATTAGTGACAAATGGTTACTGTCAAACAGCTACCTCACCAGCATTGAGATCGCTTGAGTTATCATTAACGTTGATTTACTGTACTATAAGCTGGAAATTATGTTCTAAGATCACTTCACTGGTACAACAACAATATTTCCATGGGAAATGATGAATTAGAAACAAACTATAATGAATAAGCTATATAATCATTTGTGAATAATAGTGATAGTGGGATTATCGATATTTACAGTCAGATTAAAAATAAGCTACAGACATGTGATGAGTAGGATAAGATGTGCACACACACGAGACTGAATATCAAATGAGGTTAGGTACTAATCCAGGGGTAAGGAAGAATCAATTTATGATGTAATCTTTTTTATCCTCCTATAGACATTTTTCCATATATATATATTATCTATGCTTATTGCATGTGATTATCATAGGGGAAAAATGACTCATCAAAGTTGGAAATTTCAGGTTAAGTTTTCAGATCCAACTTGTCAACTAAGTCCATCTGATAACAAAATGTTTAGTTTTTAGAATAGATTTTTATCTGGATAGTGTAATAAGCTAATATAATCAGGGTAGGTTTAAGGTGAGAACAAACTGTTTTTGAATACATTAAGGGGGTTTGAATTTTCGTATGGCTAAGGTTTCAATAAACCTTAGTATGCGCCTTTTAACACTTTTGTACAGCACCACAAAAGCTGTGCTGAGATCCAACTTGTGACCTGTTTTAACTGTCTTTGGCCATAGAGGATGATGGATGTTTATCCTCTGCTCTTATTGGGTCATTTGATTTTAATAGTTGAATTCATGAGTCTCGTAAAGCTAGACCACCTTGAAAAACCTGGAAGCACTGAACGGTCGCTTACGTACTAGTATGGGGTTCCTCAGTAGTGCACACCCACGACCCCGCTCGCGGGATTCCGACCCAGGGCCTTCGGTTTCGCGCGCGAACGCTTAACCTCTAGACCACTAAACCGGCATCGGATGGTGTTAATGTCTAACTTCAAGCAATTCACGAAATTGCGCCACCGTCCGCCACTGCCTTCACTGAGTTACTGCCTCACAACAGACCCGGTTGAACTCCACTGGTCACGGCTTCCTACTAGAACTCCAGGAAATACCTCTTGAAGCCAGTCACTACTGAGCGAATGATGATTATTATCAGAAAGAGGTTTTATGGAGATTGTAGTAATTTAATAGTTAGATGCCGACTCAGTGGTCTAGTGGTTAAGCATTCGCGTGCGAGACCGAAGGTCCTGGGTTGGAATCCCGCGAGCGGGGTCGTGGGTGTGCACTATTGAGGAGTCCCATACTAGCACGAAACGGCCGTCCAGTGCTTCTAGGTTTTCTAAGGTGGTCTAGCTTTAATCGACTCATTTGATTTTATTTATTTTCGCAGCCATTTAGGTACATATTCAGACACCCTAATTTGGAGATCATCATTACTTGTCTCTATGTATGTGTGGCCACACACATCTAAATTGATAAATACAGTGGGATGTGACGAAATTATTTTCATGTCTTCTAGCCTTTTGAAAAAAGTCTTCTTCAAAGGTACATTATTAAATTATGTGACTATATATCTTTGAACAACCTTAAATTACCTGTTCCTTTAAAAATTCCTAAAGATTTGCTACTATTATGTACTGACAAAGTCCAGTTCACATTTGAAGATGAATGCTTTAGTCAGGTCGATGAGATTGCTATGGCTAATCTGTTACGACCATTATTAGCAGATGTGTTTATGACATTTGTTGCAAATTTAGCTGAAGACCCAATCGAAAACATGTCTCTTCATAAGAGATGTGTGGATGATATCTTAGTTATCTGTGAAAGAAAGGAGAATATTAATAAACATAACACAATTCGAAACCACACCAGTCTCTCATGTAAAAAGGAGAACAACAAGCTTCCCTTCTTAGATATACTTCTAAGTAAACGAGATGATTCAATCAGACGATCCATTTTTTGAAAGCCAACTTGGACAGGACAGCACCTTAGTGATCATAGTTACTGCCCAGTGTAATACAAACGGTGTTTGATAAGGGGCTTATTTGGATTGATTAATCGTATTTGCACAAACAATGCTATTGATGACGACGTTACGTAGTTGAAGAAAAAATTAGTGGAAAATGGATATCCTCTAAAATTCATAATTCGATGGAAAGGTCATGGTATGGTGAGACCTACTATAGCCTTGGTACAAAAAAGGCCTGTCTACATCGCTTTACCGTTTAGAAGTGAGTCAAATAGCCTTTTATTCAAAAAGGGCTTAAATAAGTTATTAACAAGACGTACTACACAACAAAGGTCATGATCAAAGAAAAACAAGGTCCATGCTTCCCTAAAAACCTAAAAGACATGAAAATGATTTCGTCACATCCCACTGTATTTATTAATTCAGATGTATGTGGCCGTATATACATAGCGACAAGTAATGGTGATCTCCATATTAGGGTGTCTGAACATGTACCTAAATGGTCGCGAAAACAAATAAAATCAAATGACCCAATAAGAGTAGTTGATAAACATAGTTTTTTTGAAAATATGCTAAACGTTTGTTATATAGAAGTATGAATTGCTGAGTTGTTCTAAATATATTCGTTCTAACGCAACTTATGGGAATAACTTAAAATGATAAAAGGCTAGTTTGGTTCATAGCCTTTTCAGACTGTTATATCCCTGTAAATAAAAAAGAGAAATTGACCATATAGTGACGTATATTACTTACTGAATGTTAGTAGTTAAATGAATAAAGGCCAATTTGCAAATGTCATTGGTAAAGCGAGTAAGCTATGCTGTCAGTCGGTAATGTTGTTTAGTGCTAATGCTGCCATTAGTATTACACTGTAAGGGATTTGACTAATTGAAATGGTATCAAGTGGTTTGAATGTGGTCAGATGATTTGATCTGACAATAAATTACTTGTGAGTAACTTAATTTAGGCGTTTGTCTTGATTGTGGTCCTACGGAGATCCGTATGTGAATAAGTGGGAATCAAATCCAGGGACTTCCGGTTTTTCGTCCTGAAGATCGAAGGTCATGGTTAGGATTCTCGCGAGCGGGGTTTTGAATTTGCGCTGATGAGGTGTCCTATGATATTCGGTTTGTAAATTTAAAAAATATGAATCCAGTCAATGCTATTTTAGGTTCGCAAACAGGCATACCTTGCTATTTTAATTGAGGTGGTCTTATGATCAAGTTTGTATTTCTAAGTGTACTAATGGTATAATTAACTGATTGTAAATTTGAAATGAGGCGATCAAACTGATAGTTTTGCTGACGGGACAGACATCCATAGTCTTAATAAACATATTTTGAAATAAAAATATACTAACTAACGGAATAAAAATTTATTAGGGGATCAAAACCAGTATTTTTAATGAAGTAACTTATTAGAAATCAAATGACCAACAAAGATTAAAAGTCAAAGTCGAGAGAAAACTAATGAGGCTCCGCTCCTTGTTTATCATATTCAGGACCATGAAGATATTAACAGACTTTAACTAGATGCACATCAATCAACAAGTTAGTTTGACTTTTAAGCTATATAGTTAAGCTATATAAATCCTTCATCCTAAAACTTATTCAGTTTTTTGCAACATGTAACAATGTCTAAATCGGCAGATTACTTTCGATTCTTTCATGCAATTTAGTTCCCTTGATAAACTTTCGTAAAACGAGAACAAGCATTGAGAGATTCAGTGAATTTTATTTCATTTTGTGTCTTCTAAATCAATTTGCAGTGTCCAGCATTAAGTCAAGCCTACATGGGTTATCCCAGATTCCAAACAGACCAGTTTATTTATTTTCCAAGAGTTACACTTTGACCTTGCTGATCATTCGCTAATTAATCTTGACTGTTTATATTTGAACTCATGTATGTGTGTATTGCTTATCCTATTCATCACATTTCTGTAGCTTATTTTTGTCTGGTTATAGATATCGAATCACGCTCTACCAAATCGAGTTGGTTCACTCAGATTCTCTGCTTCGCTTCACTTTCCTGCTTTTCACTCTGAATGTCTATCCGAATAAACGAGTGCTTGAAATGATTTCATCCAACAGAACTCGTATTTGGCTTCTTACTACCACCGTTACGCAAACAGGGATAGCCTAGGTAATATACGGAGCTAAATAGAAGTTTTATGTTTTGTAGCATACTCATAAGTCTATCGAAATTCGAGTCAGATCAACGAGTTACAAAAAGCTTTATTGAAATGTATTATTGGCTTTTCATGAGAAATTGTTAAAAATTAACTAATTAGGATTTAGACCTGATATATGGAAGCTATTCGATACTTAAAGTACGGTAATATAAAATGGGCGACCATCAAGTGGTCGATCTAGTTACATGATAATATCACAATTACATATAAATACAGAAAATATTCTTCATTATTCTTACCCAACTCAAGTCGTTCTATTGACAACAAAGGTATTCGAATGTAAGCTGGACGATTATTTCTGTTAATAAAATCTGTTCTAAAATAGGAATGAAATGGTAAGATTGTACATAGGAAACAATTTTGTTAAAAAATGGAATTTGGTAACTGATAGAGTTATCTAGGCTGATAGTAATCAACTAAAAGAATTCAACTGATTAGCTTTATGAAAAAACATTTTTTAACTTATGCATTAATTTCAATTATATTGTAAAACAAGACAATATGCAGGAGGAATGTATGTTTATTGCGAGAAGCTACAAAGTATTTATACATAGCCTTCAATCGTTTAACTGTATCTTTCAGTGTTTTCTGCCATCTAAACTGTCTCCGAGTGTTCTGACAACGCCGTGCTTTCGATGCACTAACACTCTTCACTCCGCCTGACAACTGTTGCAACTTTGACGCCGTGTTCCACTATAACACTACTTACAAACATTTTTGTGAGTAGAGTCCAATACAATATTTTAATGCAATCCATTAAGTGTAGTTTAAAACTAATTTTTTACATTTTCAGTATAGGGTTGTGGAGATTGTTAAATTTGGTTAAAATCATGAAATGATTCAAGTTAGATCATGATTGGAAATATGGAAGGACTGGACGAGGATTTTTTTCTTAGTATGGGACTCTTCAACGGTACGCATCACTCACGAGATCGGAAGTAATGCATTCAATTTTCGCGTGCGGAAGCATGGATATGCATACTAGGAAGAAACGACGATCCAACAAATCTAGGTTTTCAATAGCAGTTTAACTTAGACTGATTTATGATTTCAAATTATTTTTGAAATTGGAAATTGTAAAGAAACAACTTAGTTTCAATACGCGGTTTTATTTGTTTGTTTCAGCAGGTCTATGAGATAATTCTTACAACCGAAGACTACTTAAACTATATTTTGTCAAATATGTGATAAACTCAGTGAATATAAATAATAGTTTCAGAAAACGTGTCCTCAACACTTAACGTAGTTTCTTGAAAACGTGTGCGTATTTTGAATACTGATTAGAAATTATTGATTTATTATCACCGTATATTTTCCCTTACCCCGTCAAACATGAACTTTCAACTTCATTCTTCTGACATACTAGTAAATAACTAAGATGTAATTAGTTTAGATTTAGGAAGAACAGAAGGCTAGTAAGTTCATGTTAATCCTAAAGGTGGAGGTTTCTCAACCGATTCAACTTTCTTTTGAATAGGTCTATAGAAATAACTATAATTAACGGCACGTTTTGATTCTTCAGTGGATAGGTCGGTAGTTAACTTACAAATAATTGGATTCGTGAACACACGTGAAATTCAACATTGTCTAAAGAAATTATCAAAAATATAAACTATTCTGTCAGAAATTTCAAAAAAAGTGAAATAGTGAAGACTCAATATAATCCAAAACTTACCTTATGAAGTGTATATATTTATCAGTTATTAGAACAACCGTATTCACATAAGCCATACCACGAATAAATCTGTACGGAATAAAGGAAGAAAGAACAAGGAAATCATAGAAGTGAATTTCATCAAAGTCTCTAACAGTTGTATTCATCTTGTTAATAATTACGTTGATATGTGTCATGAATTGGAAATAGTACCATAGTTTTATTCAAAGATAGACTGGTTCGTATATTAATTTAAAGAATTTTTAAGGAATATGTAGAGAATATAACCAAGATTTCACCGCATACACCAAGGCTTATATATATATATATCGGTTACGATCAACAGACTGATGACTTCAGTCATAAACTTTTATGGATGATTTCCATCATAGGATAAACTTTAGAATTAAGAATCAGTGGTTATTGGACAGTTGGTTTGTATGCCTATCACCGATATGAAATATTAAGACTTGAGATATTCCAGTTTTCGGTAGTAAGGTAGTATAGGGACAAGTCAATCAGAATCGAGAAAACGACTTTTAGGTTTCCGAACAAAATCCAAAATCAACATCAAGTGAGTAGTGAAGATACCTTCATATAACAGGCAAATTGATAATTTCTCCAGACCCTAATATAAACCATAACTTGGTGGGTATATACTTTATAGACCGAATAATTAGATTTAAGATAGTGGCTGATGAATTTTCGAGAGAAAGTTGTTCATTCATACAGCTACAAAGCATTTTTTGAATGCTAGCTGATATCAATTCGTGATGAAAACACTAATGTTAAACCTCTAGTCCTATCCTTAAATACTTAACCCTAACTAAGGACAGTTTAGAGACTCCTATGAGTATTTTTGGGTCCCCATAAGAGTTCGCAAAGATGGGTAATCTATATCTGTATGGACAAATCTATATGTCATTGTTTTTTGTTATTTGGAGGTAAAGTAGCCTGTAAGATCTTAATAGATTAATCAAGTAATCAAGCAACATCACGTTGTTTACTCATCCGTAAACTATCCACTTAAAAAAGGTATTTGAAACCGGCTACGAACTGGTTGAAAACTCTCCACGGTTATTTCAATCACATCTCTATACCACACTTTTATCAAGTTTTCTATTACGTTCCGCACCATTTCAACCCACTGAGCTAGAATCGAAAATTGATTTATATACTTTCAACATTAATAATCAATTTAAAATGAAGTGTAATGTTTATCCATTATATCATCAGTTACTAATTACTACATTATTAACTTGGACTGATAATAATCAATTTACTAATAGCTAGAAGGAAATGATCTGAAATACATAAAAAGGTAAACTATAACTATCACATGTTAATACCTCAATTAATAAATAGTTTTGACATTTCGTTCCTTTTCAGCATAATTTAGACAAGATGATGCACTCAGTTTTGGTTTAAAAGAGTTTTAAGAGTATATATACATACATATATGCACCAAATTAGCGAATATACTGAACATTAATGTTAGTGTGGCTTAGGATGTTCAACATGTTGGGTAATTGAAGTGGTGGTTGGAGGTTCCCGACAGGAAACATTGGACATTGATTTTGAGTTATTTAGTACCAGTCAGTAATGTGTACCTTTAATTTTGAGAGAGCTGATTCTCCCTAGTAGATTCAATCATGTGTCGTCCAGTTTCTCAGTCAGAGACATTACCACTGAGCTATTCAGGCCACGACTGACACCCAATAGGACTAGGATAAATTTTGATCTATAGAACTTGGTCATCAACAAGAACGTGACATAGATGGCATTGGTCACTACCTAGTGACCAATCAATTGTAAATGTCAGGTAAGTGCTTGAAATACAATAGGATTAATTTGAACTAGATTCTGGACGTCGACAACCTACTACTTTAAAATATGTTTTCAAAATTTTACCATACACTTGGATGTTTTTACCAACTGTAATATATATTTTTATATATCACATAATCAAATCAATTTAAAACGAGCTACTTTTTACCGAGAAATCGGCAACATGTATGAGATACCCCCTTAACATTAGAATGAAAAACAGTAACAGTTTAGTGATATATACGGTAAGAAATTGTACCGATTATGAAAATACTGATATGATTAATTTTTTCACGTGTATCAGAAAATGAAATTTTTAATATATCAAAATTAAATTGAATTTAGTCAATTCCCTTGTTGATTATTTCTAGTAAAATAAAATGGAAATTTAATATGATCAGGTGATTTAGACTTGGTGCTGACAATTCTTGTTTTAATGGTGAAAATAATAATAATAAGTCCTAGAATCAAAGATGCGGGTTTCGTTTTATTTCAAATTCATCCGTTGGAAATACCTAAATTACCACGTTGATTTTGACACTGAGACTAACAGAATAGTCATACATTTAAACGCCGCCGTGTTAGCCATTGGGTCAACAAGTTGAGTTATAGAACAAGTTCGTGACGGTCGTGACTCAATAGCTTGGTGGATAATGTGTTGGTACTTCATGAGATTGGTAGTAGGTTGAGTATTAGTGTAAATATCAACACTGGGATGCAGGCTACTTCAAGTGATGAGTTCAAATAGTAAACAAAACCAACGTCCTGAATTCTACTAATAGCCATTATTTAAAAATATATAACACATCATTTACTACTCAATTAACCGTTTAAAAACTTGAAATTACAGTTTAGATTACGAAAAAGTAGTTTTAATTAGTTATTGACTTCTTTTTTTTTTTAAAGAAAGCACTTTACTTTAAAAGTTTCAACTACATTGAATAACATATGAGAAAAGTAATTATCGTCAACTGATAAGTTCTAGCTAATCAATAAAGGAAGAATGGTCTGGCACTTCTATCTCATACACACGAAAAAATGTAGATGAAGACAACTAGTGTATCAACAGCCTCTACATCAGTAGGCCTCAAAATACACATAGAAAAAAGCAAAATCATCAAATACAACACGAAGAACACCAACCCAATCACAGTTGATGGAGAAACTCTCGAAGATGTATCTGAGAAGCATCATTGATGAACAAGGAGGATCCGATGCAGACGTAAAGGTAAGGATCGGTAAAACGTGGGCTACATTCCTATAGTTGAAGAACATATGCATCTCAAGACAACTGTCTGCAAGCCAACATTAAAGTCAGAATCTTCTACCAACGTAAAGACAATTCTACTGCATAAAGCTGAACCTTGGAGAACTACTACAACCATCAACAAAAAGGTACGAGTATTTTTAAACAGTTGTTTACGTAAGATACTCAATGTCCGTTGGCCGGATACGATCAGCAACAACTTGCTGTGGGAGAGAATAAACCAGCTTCTAGCTGAAGAGGAAATTAGAAAGAGACGTTGGATGTGGATAGGACATACATTACGGAAATCACCAAATTGCATCACGAGACAAGCAATAACTTGGTATCCTTAAGGGAAACAGAAAAGAGGAAGGCCAAAGAACACACTAAGTCGGGAATCGGAAGCATACATGAAAAGAATGAATAGCAACTGGAAAGGATTGCTCGGGACAGAGTTGGATAGAGAGTGCTGGTGGGCAACATATGCTCCTCCACAATTGCTAACGGGCGTAAGTACGTAATAAAGAAAGAGAAGAACACCTACCGAAAGAATTTTCGATCTTCTATATCTCTTAAACTTAATTAAATCTGTTTTACAGGTTGGAGAAAACACATATTATTTAGAACATACAATTTGACAAGCGATTGTTAAATGCATAGAAATACGACAGAACAGACTATCTGGTTTTATTGTAATATCCTGTTTGTGAAATTAGTGACCTTCCGTGAAAGGTGTCAAAGCTAAATGTATAAAACTCAAGAATGAATAATAAAATCTAATCACTATTCATATTTTTTTATTGTCAATTTGTTAAATGTAAACAAATTGTTGTAAAGCAACAAAATCAATATTAGAAAATTTGGTGTTTACAATTTGTAATCGTTATTATTTGGTAAACAATTGGAAGAGAGAAGGAAGCAGTAGAGAATATTGAAAACGTAGAATAAATCATGATATCCGTATGAATTGAAGAGGTTATTTATATACTTTAATGCTTTGTTCACCGTTTTCTATATTTTTCAAAATAATAAAACCCAGTATTGATATCCGTTGGGATAACAATTGAACAAACGTTGATTCGTCGATATTACAGTTAAGTAGTATTGATGAATTTCGAATAAACAAGACTTAGAAACACACGTACACACATACACAAGCAAAGAGATAGAGAGAACTCCAACAACTATTACTTCTTACTAATGAAGTTGGTTTTTACAGCTGATTTAATTACATGAAGTAAAGAAATATATGTGCGAGTGCTAATCGGTGAATAGTGCTTTGAAATCATTAGGACTACAGGAAAAGTATCATCGTAAAAATATAACGGGACTTAAAAACAAACGATAACATGGACTATTCAATGATCAGTGTCTATGGAAATGTATATGAGACCAAATATTTGTGTACGGCGATATCAAGATTAGAATTAACCATAAAGTTTGATGTGTGATTTTAGTTGATATGATAATAAGCTTGGGGAATTTCCTATGTGAAATGATTGCGGATGGTCAGATTTCTTTCTCACTTGACATAAAAATCACTATTTTCATTTGTTAATTTATTTAATATAACTTTGAATCAGTGTTTATCTCACCACACTGTCTTTCGTTTTTATTAAATTGAAAAGAAAAAAAAACATTTTTTTAGAATCAGTCTACTGATGTTTTTATATACACCCCTTTATCAGTGTTCATTTGAGGATTACAAACAAATGCAAATGAAACAATTGTACAGTTACTCAACATTCTTTAAAAAATCTAAGAAATTTGAATTTTCTATTTGGAGAATCTAACGTTGAGGAAGAGAATAGGAAGTTGTTTATATGCATTGTTCAACGCAGTCACATCTAATAGTATTCGTCCTTAATATCAAACTTTATTATGATTGTACTGTTTATCCTGGAAATTATCAGTGAGCCACGATTTGATTGACCCATTCAAATAGACTAGAAAAAGGATATTCGTTAAATGCATAAAGTGGTTTACATGCTGAACTACTTTACTTTATTTAAAGGTA